GAGATTGTTATGAAATGTGTTACTCAATATGGTGGCTATAAATATATGGGCAGTACAGATTGATCATGTTATGCAAACACTTTTTGGCAGTGAATATGTCTTCTATATATAATGTGGCAGACAAGAGTGAAAGTATGGTAGTGTATAAAAGTTAGCGACCTAAACAAATTTGTATGTACTTTATTAACTTCCATTAATAATATGGCAGTGAAATTAGACATACATATAAAACTTCCAATGTTATGAATTATGAATTGAATTTCATATTGTGCAAAAGTCATGTGCTTCGTTCTATGACTATTGGGTTTGAACATTCAAGAGTTCGTTATGGAAACGTGTTACGGAATAGGGGCTGATATTTTTTTGACAGTGTGGAATAATCAACTTCTAGCTACACTTTTTGGAAATGTCCTATGACCATGTTTGCCTAGTGTGTTTTGGTTGAATGGAATTTATATCTAAAAATCACAATGTAATAAATTATTCATTGAGTTCCATTGGAAGCGGACACAAAAAAATCACCAAAATGACTAGTGCTTGAATAACTTTAATAAACAAAGTATGAACTGTAAGCTCAAAAATTTTTGGAAGTGTGGAATGCTTGTGATCTAGGTATACTTTTTGGCAGTGTATTGTGTCCTATGTTTTGGCCAGTGTGCTATGTTGCACAATTTCATATAATGTTGCAGTGTATGCTGCTTACAAAGTCTTAAAATTTACAACATAATACCTTCATTATCCGTTTCTTTTCACTACCACATAAATGAAATTTAACATATGTCTAATACTAACATCTTCTAACATTATTCAAAATCAAGAAAGACAAAAAAAAGCCAAGCCCATGTTTGGCCAGTGTGTTTTGGTGTAATAGATTATTCATGAAATCAGTCATACACTTTTGGAAAGTGTGGAATTCATAAATGAAAACAATCATATACATTTTTGGCAGTGTGGAATTCATACATGAAAATAGTGTGGAATTCATACATAAAAAAAGCTATACATTTTTTGGGCAGTGTGGAATTCATAGATGAAAATAGTCATACATTTTTTGATAGTGTAGAATTAATACGTGAAATCACTGCCACATAAATCAATGGACATTACACTACAACATGAAATTAAGGAACACAATAATACATTTACACACTGCCGTAAGATATAACAACATATATACATTCTACACTGCCACATTAAAAACTCACATATAAAAAACCGCACTGCCCACTACACAATTACGAGTGAACAACCACATTGCCCAAAATAATCATATTTTTTGGCAGTGAATAATGAACATTTGCTGTTTAATTAAAGGACAAAATCGGAATTACATGTATGAAACATATAGCACTGCTATTTAGAGTATTTTAATTCTCTTACAGTGCTATTTTGGTTTTTCTCCCTTATTTATGTACTACCTCCGTCCCTTAGTATTTGTCCAGTTTCGACTTTTTTGATCTAACTGTTTTTAACCTTTGATCTATTATTAAATAAACTATGAATTAAATAAAATAATATTTTGAGAATAAATGATATAATAAATCTAATAAAAAAAATTTATATCAATATTTAATACTCCATATCATTTTTACCTAATTTGAGGTTAAAAGTTATCAATTTTTACCAAAAAAAGTCAAAAGTATTCAGGGACGGAGGGAGTAATATATTAAAATTGAAGATTAAATATGAAAATCAAATTGTAAGTAAAGATTATTTTAGAATTTAATCTTTTTATTGAATCTTTTGATGTGATCTTTTGATGGTATTTTACTCAAGATATCTCTTAATGCTAATATGTTCACTATAATCTAGTTCTTATATGGAGAGTACTTTATGTACTAGCTCATCTACCTTGATTGAGCTTAGGATCGGAGCCCGTTTTTTCAATAACAACTTTTTATTTCGAGCAAAGCATGGAATTAAAATTTTACACAAACGAACCCAAACCAGCTACAAATTAACAACACCCATTCAACAACAGACCATTTAAAAGGCTCAGAAATAAATCTAAGCCCTCTTTTCCTACTAACTCTCAAACCAAACAGCATTCTCGTAATGAACCATTTCCTCCCTCCATCTACGCCGCCGCGGTCCGCTGCGACCCGAACTTCTCCGCCGCCTTGTCCTTCACCTCCCGAGCGGTCGTTCCGATCCTCCCCTTGGCGTACTCCAGCTGTGCCGCGCCCGGCGGATTCTTCCCCGTCATGTACTGGTACATCCACGACAGCACGCTCACTGCAGCCAGCCCGAACGCGCCGGACGACAGGAACCCGATGGTCACCAGGAACGCCGCGGCCACGGCCGGCACCAGGATGGGGCTGAAGATGACGAACAGCGGCGTCACCACCGCCAGCCCGATCACCGTTGCCGCCAGCGTCAGGCCGGATATCAGCAGGAGCGATCCGCCGACGGTCGCCGCCGTTGCCGCCTTGGCGGCGCCGTAGGTCTGTGACTGCTGCTGCGGCTGAGTGTAGTAGTCAGCTTGCTGCTGCTGCCCGTAACGCTCGGACGCCATTGCCAGTATAATTATTACTTATATTTAGGTAATTATCGATGGGGATTATTTAATTAATTACTTTAATAAGATAGTGGTTTGAGTTGAATAAATGAATGAATGGGGGGTTTAAATAGGACGGGGAAGCGGTGGCACGTGGTGATGATGAGCTTTGCATGCATAGAGTTGCTCTTTTTTAAGACACGTAGCATTTTTTTAATACTATTTTCTTTATTCTTTATAGATTCTTTTTTTTTGTTTTTCTTTTTTTTTTTAAAAATTTGGTTAGGTAGAATATAATGAAGCTCTCTTTGGTCCTATTGTGCTTCTTTTGTTATTATTAGCTGTTGGGCTACGGCTAAAAGAAATGTGGACTCAGTTGGCATGACCTAATAATGAACAACTTAATTAGATTTCTTACTCAATATTTTATGAATTTAAATAAACAAATAAATAAATATAGGTTTGGTTCTTTCGACACCAAGCATTGATGTGATTAGATATGGAGATGGGTAGCGTGGAACGATCTGAGTTTGTGGTTGTTTCAGTTCCAGCCCCGTTTTATAGAAACGAGTCTAAACAGTTCGCGATACAATTTTGTCATACTTTGTCCCTTTCAGTTTGGGATCCGAATAATGTGGAATGGTTCGTGATATCCAAATTCAAAATTTTCTATAAAATGTAAACCTAAAAATTTGTAATATATTAACCCTAAAAACTAAATTGAATATTTTATATGGAGTACAAACATTTTTAGAAAATTCTAGAAAATAAAACTGCAATAACATTATATACAAACATTAAAAAATTGTATACAAACATTAAAAAATTGATAATCTAGGTTACAAATCATATGAAATTGAATAAAGAAATAACGTGCATGAAAATTTGGGTTTAGACATAGAAATATGGGACAATGGGACGAAACAAAATACTTTTTAATTGTCTCGGCACCTTCCCATCCTTTTTTGAATTGGTTTGGAATGGGTTTGGGACAAAACTTTGTCGTCTCAACACGTTTGGAATTGGTTTGGTATAGCGTTAGAGATTAGCGTTAGCGTTTTGGATAAAATTTTAACGGTGCAGATCGCTTTGAAAACGCTAACGCTAAACGCTGCCCGTAGATAACTTTTTCAAAACGCTAACGCTAATCACTAACGCTGTTCCCAAACAGGCACATTATAGTGATGAGATTGAGATATTTCATAATGGGAGAACGACTTTGGAATTCTTGCCTGTCCCTAAATGTAATTATATTATACTCCCTCCGTCCTATAATGATCTTCCCAAAGCACTATTCCAACTTCACGGGTATTTATATTTATTTGTGTTTTTTCATGGCCTATATGATAAAATAAAATATTCTTGTCACCACTTGTTTTGTTGAACTTTTGATGTAGTTTTTAAATATGTATGTTTTATTTTTTATTTCTATACCAATATTTAAATAAAATAGATTGAAAAAATTTGAGATTTTTCTTCGTTTTACGAACCGGGAAGATCATTATAGGACGAAGGGAGTACTAGGTTATATGAAAGTTCTAAGAAATGTACAAGTGATTAGACATTAAAGAGATAACTATCATATACTCCGATTTATAATTACATTAATTACATTAAACCTTTGTGTTCATATAATTATATTAAAGCTCGGTGTCGAAAGAACCAAATTCATATTTAAAAATTCTAAACTTATCGTGTAATAACTAATAAGGAAAAGTATTGGGCCAATTGAGTCCACATTTCTTTCAGCTGTAGCCCAATAACAAATAGTACTAATCCGAAAAGAAGTACACTAGGGCATTACCCCAAAAAAGGATATTACAAATGTTTAGGTTTACATTTTATTAAAAATTTTGAATTAGAATATCACGAACCGTTCCAAATTATCTAGGTCCCAAACGGAAAGGGACAAAGTTTACAGAATTGTATCACTAACCATTCAAACTCATTTCTATAAAACGAGACTGGAACTGAAATGACCACAAACTCAGATCGTTCCACGCGACCCGTGTCCATTCTCTAATTACATAATGCTTGGTGTTAAAAGAACCAAACCTTTATTTATTTATTTTAAATTCATAAATTATTGAGCAAGAAAGCTAAGATATGTATTAGGCCATGCCAACTCAGTCCACATCTTCTATCTGACTAATGCTCGAGATACATACACCATATGGTGTACCTCAGCAGTACTCAAAAAGATAAGGGTATGAAAAGTAAGGATTCTCAATGTTTATGTAGCTGTCATAACTTCAAGGATTTCTTAGTCGTCAAATACAAATTTGTTTTGAACAAAATAAAATTATTTAATTTGAGACAAATGAAGTGTATGTTAATTTTCTTTATTTTAATTTATTTTTTATTTTAAACACAAACATTTTTTATTACTAAATCATTATGTAGTATAAAAATAGTTTTAAAAAAATAACTTTAAAACATTTATGAAAAGTTTTAAAAAAATAAAGTCAAAAATATTGATGAAAAAAATAGAAGAAAAAAGAAAAATAATATAGAAAAAAGGAGAGAAGATGTTGGTGCCCATTTCTAAAAAATCATAGAGGCATCGGTGCAATTCATTTAATATTTGAAGGGTATTTTAGTCTATAAGTACATTGGCGTAGGAATATTACAACCACATAACACAATGGAGCAACGATGTAAGTTCTGAAATCATGGGGGCTCACGGTGCACACTTAGCAAACCTCAAGAGGCGCAATAAACTAAAGTTCTATCACTTGCTCCTGGGGGAACGATCACGCAAATTATATAATGAGATCCAAATTTTTCTGTATTTTTTAATATTGTAATCGAGCGAGTAACATTGAAAAATGTATAGTCACATCCAAACATCATTGTCTCATGGTAATTAGTCGGTCTCCCATCGTGGTCACACTTGATATATATTGGTGTAGTCACTTTAAATAAATATTAAGCCATTATATATTCATATAATTAAAGCATTCTTATGTATTTATATTAATCTTTTTATTAAAAAAATAATAATCTTTTTATATTCGTATAAAAACTTTGATGTATTATATAAATGCAGAGTCTAAATTTTTTTAGAACTGCTGCACTGATATTTAAACAAATAAAATTTGTAATATGCCAGTTTCCAAATGTCTTCCTTCTTCAATCCTTCATTCAATTTGTGACATAAATATCCCAAAATTTAAAAACAAAACAAAAAGGTAGCTAAGAAAAGCAAGCCTAAATACGTGTGATATACAAGATGATAACTTAACCGTGGATATATACAAATCCTTGTTTGGAACCTGAAGAAAAGATGATAATGTAAGAATTTAGTTCAAATCCCAACTTGTATTAAATGTGTGTCTATATTTATCCCATCCAAACACGCCTCCCATCATGGTCAAACCGCTATTTCGCTGACCATCAGCTGCTGGCCCACCGCCAACATCCAAGCGTGTAACTCGGCCGAACCCCCACTCGACCGGCCCTCTATATCCGGTTCGGTTTGCTCCGCCATAGCTACTTTTCTTCTCTGCTTAGCCGAGCCATTTTCTGAAGCCGCCTCCGGCAATCTCCTCTTAGCCGTGATCCTGACCGGGTCCGGTTCGCCCGAGCCGATTCTGTGCGGAAAATTCAATAGCGCCTTCGAACCGCGCATCCGGTAAGCCGCTTTGTCGTAAGCAATAGCCGCCTCCTCCGCCCGCTCGTACGTCCCGAGCCAAACCCTCGCGCCGTTCTTCGCCGGGTCCCTTATCTCCGCCGCGAATTTCCCCCACGGCCGCTGCCTCACGCCCCTGTAGTGCCTCCCCTTCGGCGGCGGCGCCACGGCATCAGCCCCGCGAGGTGGCGCCGCGGCGGCGGGTCCCGACAATTCTAACGGCTCGGCTTTGACTTCCGTCGCCGTGAAGTTAAACGGCGTCCATCCGACGCTAACGGCGTCGCGCAAAAGGCCGTAAATGACCATGTCTTCGGAATCGTCCACTTTGAGTGGCAGGTCGCCCCACGTTTCCGTTAAACAGGGCATGAGATTGACGAAGCTGGAACTCCGGCGATACGCCGGGAACTTCACCGGCGGGAACTCCGTCGATATGGGGTGATTCATTTTTATTTTTAAATTCTTATTTTCTTTAAAAAAAAATGCTAATGATGATTTGGGAATTGGATTAGAGAGGGAACGGAGGGTTTATTTATAGAAAAGAAGAGGTGATGAAATTAATTGAATCTGCTGGTAGGATATTTTCATGAATTAAGCTAGGGGTACACCAACATGGGTACCCCAAATGTACACCAAAGCCAACACAGGCACACACAGATACAAAGTGTCTGTGTTGCACGGACATTTTATGTCTGTGTGTGTCTGTGTTGGCTTAGTGTACACTTGGGGTACTCCATGTTGGTGTATCCCTAGCATTGCCCTATTTTCAGCCATTTTAAGTGGATAGTGAGAATAGAAAAATATCGGTTTTCTTTGAATATTCGTAGTGGGCAAGTGGACAAGTTGGTGGAAAAGACTACATTTTCTTGCACGTGTACAAATTAGTTATAAAATTTAAACTTAAAAAAAATGTTAGATTAGGATCCTAAATTAAAATGGTTCCATTTTGTTTAGCAATTTAACCCACTCATGAATAGTCACTCATAATAGTTATGTCTATTTGTACCAAAAACAAAAATTACTCCCTTCGTTCCCATTTTAATTACAATTTTATTTTGTTAAATTTGTACTAAATAGAACTAAAACATAAATTATTTTCCAATTAATGTAGGATTTAAACTTTTTTATTTTCTAAATAATGGCCCTGTTTAGGAATAACGTTAGAGGTTAGCATTAGCATTTTGGATAAAATTTTAACGATGCAGATTATTTTGAAAATGCTAAATCTAAACACTGCCCGTAGATAGCTTTTCAAAACGGTAACGCTATTCCCAAACAGGCCCAATGTCTAGTGATGATGGACATTTATTTGAATGATGACTAATGTATAATGACCAATGGTTCTACATTGGAAAATAAAATATATGGTCTTGTATTAAAAAAGTCATTATGTTTTAGTCTTATTTAGGTAAATTCTCTTTTTATTTTCTCTCTCCTCTTAATGTTTTTTTGTTTAATTGTATGTTTTCATTAATTATATGATAAAATAAAATATTTTTGTCACATCTTGTTTTGTAAAATTTTGGACGTAGTTATTTAATATGTAATTTTTATTTTTATTGATGTACCAATTTATAAATAAAATGATTTCAAAAATCGTAGGGTTTTACATCGTAATTCCCATTTTGTAATCAAAAGAGGTATATAAGGAGGGCCGGAGGGAGTATGTGTGTAAGTAGATGGTATTTGGAGTCCCACTAAATTCGTGAAAAAATAAAAATATAAGTAGATAATTAAACATGCTAAATTACATTTTGATGAAGTAGATACTTAAAATTTGTTTCTAAACACAACTTCAAACACCTCCTGGAAATGGTTGAAAATTGAAATGAGAGTACTTGAAGAGTTGAAGTTAATGAGTTAGGTTGTTTGCTACGTACAGCCAGATATATACTCCATCCGTTTCACAAAATCATTCCTCTTTCGTTTTGTTTGCTTTCCACAAAACACTTTCACTTTCTATTAAAAAACCACTTTTACCCCTACTTTTTCATACCCTACCTATCACATCATACTTTTTTATTAATAACCAAACTATCTCATCTTACTTTTTCCTATCACATCAGGGGCAAAATTGGAAAGTCAACCAAAATTACACTTTCCTTATTTTTCCCCAAAGTCAAAACCGGAAGGGTTTTGTGAAACGGATGGAGTATTTTCTTAGCTTCATCATAACTACAAATTAGAGCACTTTTTCTCTAATAATAAAAATTACGAGTGTCATATTTTCTTTATAACTACAAAGTATTTTCGTCTTAGACTTATAGGCTACACGAATAAATTTTACTTTTGGGTGTCAGCAAAAAATAATATAAGGTGTACAATTTGCAGTACGAATTAATTAGCTAGTGCGTAAGTGAACTTTTCATATTCCCTGAATTTGGAAATAACGCTTCCCAATTGACTAAACAAAGTTATTAATAATGTAGAAAATGTGCGATTGAGTTTTATATAGGGAGAAATTAAACCAGAATAAATGATTAACCACAAACAAGATTTCCTTTTGAAATCAAAAGAAAAATAAATATTGTGAAACTTGTTTACGGCAGAGATTAAAAAAAATTAATGGATCTTCTAACATAAAAAAAATTTAATTTTTTTTATTTAAAAAATAAATTCTTATTTAAATAATAAAAAAAATACTTATTTTACTCATATATGAAAGTACTCAAATCTGAATTTTTGAATATATACTTCAATACAACATGCGGGTCAAAGCAAGTTTACAATTAATGTTGTTTGTATATCATATTTGATCCAATAAATAATACAATCAACTAGGGACCATACTTAATTACTTACCCAAATAAATTAATCCACATTATTTTAGAACACTGATTGGGAATGAAGATATTTTTAATCATGACGTGATCATTGATCAATAGCATAAAATACATTTTTTTTAATTAAGAAATTAAAGAAAATACTTGGTCATCGGTCAAAGCTTATTATAATAAACCTTGTCTCGAATATATATAAAAATAAAATATTTTATTTATATTATCATATCAATTTAATATCCCTTGAGAAAAAATATTAATTAAATATCAATATATTTTAAGATAAAGAGTGAGTACTCACTTTGTCTCGAAAATTTAAAAACTTTTATTGAAATTTTCGGTCACGTAATGCTTTTGTCCCAGAATTATTTGCTTCATTTGACTTTTGTTTTTAACAATAACATGTTTTACCACAGTTTATATATAATTTTAAATGAATAAATATTTTAAACTTTGATACATCAAAGTTACAAATTAAAATAAATCGAGTTGTATTTAATTTTTATTGAAAGACTATCACAGTTTAATAAAATAAATCGAAATAGGACAATAATTTTGAGACGGGTAAAGTATTTCATTCCCTAAATACTCTCTATGATAAAATAAAAAAATTAAAATAAATGGAGTATCTGAATCATTGCAGCTAGAGAAAACCAAAAGAAGTGATTTAAATAAGTCATCCAAAAACACACAAGTCGCTGGGAACTGTTGAAATGGGTTGAAGAAGAATTAATTTCAAAGGTCAAAGTTTGAAGGTTGACAATTTATATTCTTTTATTTATTTAATTTATCAAATGAAATGTTTATGTGTACGTAATTGTTTTCAGTCTTCTCCTCGTGCGTGCGTGCGTCCACTCTTTTTACTACCCACCCCAACCGTTAAAGTTGAAAATAGGTGTAGTTTTATTTTATCAATTTATTTACCTTTTACCCTTCTCTTTCTTTTTCCTCCTTGATTATCTATAGAATTTTAGATGTAGCTTTTAATAAGGTATTTAGCAATGCGCTGCTTTTAATAATTTAGTTTTTGTTTTAAGTGTAAGTGGTTTTACTTTTTTGAGAGTGTTTGGGAGTGATTAGCTTATGGATAAAGTGATTTCTACAAAAGCTGAAAGCAAAAGCACCTCATCTCTGCTTCTCCGAAACGGTGTTCCATGTACAAAACAATGTTGGTGAAAAGCAAAAACTGCCATGACAAACAGAGTAAAATCACTTCCACTCAAAGCAGAAGCTAAATTGTTAAAAGCAGCGCACTACCAAACACCAATGCATAATAGCCACACATTTTGTGGGGGGTTACGGCGGGGTTGGGGTGGGGTAGGGTGGAGGGTTTAGGGGTCGGTTAGGGGGGTAGGGTGGAGGGTTTAGGGTGTGGGTTAGGGGGGTAAAAATTAGCCATACTAATTTTTAATAAAATTATATGATGAAAAGAATTAGGATTTTTTTTGTCTTACCCATTTTGTAACCTATTTTGCCGCGGAGAGTATTTATTAATCACGATTTAATTAGCTTTTTTTTTTAAATTATCAAGAAAACGCATTTCAAGGACATCCGGAGTGATGTGGCAATATAATTGAAAGAGCAATGCTAGGGGTACACCAAAAGGTGTACCCTAAATGTACACCACTTCTTTCTCTACTACACATTTTTATTTGATTTTTATTTACTTATTTTTTTAAAATTTTTGTCTTTTTTAGTGAACAAGGAGGGGTGGGGAACATATGAGGTAGTGAGGGGTACACCTTTGGTGTACCCCTAACATTTTTCTAATTGAAAAGAAAGTTGGGCACGAATTGACTGGGCTCGTCTCACGACAATGCCAAATAAATCAAATAAGTATTTCTTCCGTCTCGAAATGAACTGCTCAAATACTATTTGATCAAATTTTATTTATTTATTTATTGTTGATTTTCACTATTCATATCATAATGCAAATTAATTAGTTATGTAATATGATGAATTTTTTATATAGTTTTTAAATGTATAAAATTTATTTTTAAATTTTACACCTTGTCTCGGTTTCATAATTACAATTTAATTTATTACTTCGTACAATTTAAAGAATTAACAAATGTTCATAATAAATTTTGTAATTTGACTTTACAAATTTTTTAAAAAATATATTGAACAATAAAAAGTCTATGGTTAGAGTTTCTTTAAAAGAAAAAGAAATAATGTGAGCAGCGTTCTCTTCTCAAAAAGAAATTAAAAAGCAAGGAGTTTTCTCCATTTGAGAGTGAGAGAAATTTAAAAATGAAATTAATTTTGTTACGGAGGGAAAAAATAAAAACAATTAATCAAGAAATTTATGGGGGGAAAGGGGATATAATATTATATCTGTCTTGATTTAAGTTATTTGTTTACTATTTATATAGTCAAATTAATCTTCATCTTTGTAAATTTTTACACCATGGTTCAAATGACATTGAACCTTGATGTCATGGGATGACCCGGGGGCGCTCCGGTGCCCCGTTCGTAAAATTGACGATTCCTACCCCCTAACCCCCCGGTAAACCCCCCACCTGGCCCCGACCCGAACACAACCATCCACCCTCTTCAATTGCACCTCACAAGTTGATTTTTATTTTGGAGTCAAAATTTGACTATTTATATAGTCAAATTAATCTTCATCTTTGTAAATTTTTATTTGGAAAAACTCTCAAAATAGGTAAAAAGGGCGAGCAAAGACCTAAATATGAACAACATTCATTTTAAACTTAGAGTGGT